CACACACACACCATGCCCTTGGTTGCTGACTGTCTGTCTAAGGCCCGTCTACACTGATACAGTTATTTTTACAAAACAGATATTTTCCAATAGTTTTGGCCTCCTGTCTGAACACAAAGTGGTTTCACGTCTCCTAAAACATGCATTTTTGGACATTTCTGAGGTGGAGGTTTTTTAAAACTTTGGTTATTTTGTATGTATTTGAATGTGTAATACAGAATGTTTGGGAAATGATGATGTCATCTCCTCAGTCTGTGCATGTCTATTGTTGCAATGTGTAATGAGCATGCACCAGGAACAATAACAACAGCAGACTAACTTACGGGTTTGTGTACGTTTTGTTATTACTGCTTGGACTTACAACTACTTTCCACTTAAACTTGGTATTGCTGCACACCTTCATGGACGAACGGAGCTGTCTGCTGCTCCCAGTGTTATCTGGCCCATCTCATCATCTGCGGTTTAAAGTCCACCAGAAATGGATCAGACCTGGTCGAACCAGCAGATGGTGGAACAATTCTGACAAAGGGATTGTTGTTGATGAGGTGTAAAAGTAAGACTCTCACATATTCATCACTCAAATCTTTGTGTGAGCTCCTTCGTCATATTGAAGGGAACTCAACAGTGATGAGATCATCAATAGGTGTTCTGAAAAAGGTAATAGCCTGCAAACTTTACTGGTGTTGTGATAAGGGGGGACTACGGAAGACAGCTAACACAAACTAGTATTTACAGTCGTTTTTGTGTTTTAGTGTGGACAGAGATACAGTATGTTGTAATATGAAGGTCATGGTGACAAATATCCGCTTTCAAAAATATGTGGATACGTGTAAACAGGGCCTAAATAAAACCCTGGATTGGAGAAGTCAAGAAGCGACAGGGATTCATTCAGTCAATTGCTCCAATGGATTCAGTCTTTCAGGTAAACTGACAGTTGTTTGTTCTTATCAATGACTCAATCAATAGATTGAACTATGAAATATAAAAAAATATCAAAACCTCCCATAAGGCAGGTTGACGTTAAAATTGCTTGCTTTGTCTGACCAGCAATTCGAAACCCAAACAAGTTCAGTTTATTTTCACAGAAAACAAAGAAAAGCATCCAGCCTCCAAAAAGCAAAACAAAATTATCAAAACTGATACAGATTATTTTTCTATAAACTAATAGATTATTTGACTCACTGTTTTAGCTTTATATATTTTACTTGTGTATATCTTTCTTATGTATTTGACATTCACCTGTGTTTTAATATTTTTGTCTTTTTTTGCTTTTTATATCTGTACAGCACCTTGTACACTTATGTTTAAAAATGGTAAATTAATAATGATGGTATTGGTATCTATTAATTTTTTACTGTAAATAAAAAGAGAAAAATACGGCTAACAACAACCACTTACATGCAGAAATATCAGTTCTGTTTTTCTATACATTAAGTTATTTCTTAATTAATTAATGTCCATATGAAAGTAAAATCTAGTTGTTGTTTTTTTGGCGAAGCTAAATTGAAAGCTACTCTGTAACTAGCAGTGACCTAGTAATGGACCAGTCATTTAAAAAAAAAAAATGGTTAAACCCCACAAAACTTTATTTGAAATTTTAGATCTCAAAGCTGTCAAAGATAACAGTTTAATTTTAGGGAAATCTGTATAAAATAATGCACAAAGGTATCTTTCAGTGCACTGTGATATCAGAGATGAGACTGTGGTCTCTGCTAACAAGCCCTGTGCTGCCGCCCCCTCCTTCCCTTTGTGCCGACGGCCAAATCAGCACTGTTGCATCTTTCAAAATAGCACAGCGGGAGGAGAACGGCCAAAATGGAGCGTGCAGGAACTCTATAATTTGTTATGGGGCTGACGGCGAGCGATATCAATGATTCAACTATCTTATCTGGGTCTGTGATACACATCTTGTAAATATATTCTCTCTCCCCCCGTCTCTCTCTCTCCTTCACCCGACACACCTCTCAATCTCTTCGCCGTGTTGCCGTTATCATTGCGATGGATAGCCGGGTGATTATTATTCCTCTAGCAGAGCCCACACGTACACGCCAGCTGACCTCACTCATCACATACCTCAGAAACACAGCAGACACAAACAAAGCACACACACAATGCATCACATGCACACACACGCAGCTAGAGGTTGTGAGGTGGGTCGCTGATAACCTGCAGTTACAAGGTTAATGTGTGGTAGTACACATGCTCCATGTCAAGCAGGAACATTTCGCACTTTATCATGAGCTGAGGAGAAGCTTACACTTCATTAGATTCATCAACAACTACAGGCAAAGAAAACGTGTCATAAAAAGACAAGAGGAAATTCACAGAGATTCCCTCTGCCAGTCAGTCCCAGCGTCTCCACAGAGAACATCATGCCAGACAGACACACACTCCTGAATGCACATTTCACATATTTTTCTGGACAAAAACAGAACTCAGAATTTGGATCAAAGCCGTAGCAATGTGCAGCTTTGTTCTTTTTTTTCTTGCTGTCTTTAATTTTGCTGCTTAAATTATAACCAAGCAAAACTGCAGTGTTGATAGTATTATTCTTAAAAGAAGTAAATGTGGTAAATAAAGATTTACTGTGGGTCATAGTCAGGGCTGAGTATCATTTGTAATTTATGCCAGTAGGATACCTGACTTTTATCTCACGGCACTGAAGAATATGAAAATTATGAAAGGATTTTTTTTTCTTTTTTTCTATTCAACAAGCCAAACCTTCGAAATGCATCACTGTTTAATTTTGCCTGACACAATGCAGCTTCAAAATGACTGTACTTTAATTAAATACAGCATAATTTTTTAACAATATTATCTAAGTGAGGGAATATCAAAGAATAAGTGACGTAAGGATCTGAAATATATTTAATACCAGCTGTCTATCCTGTCACCAGATCCAGCCCATGTACCTTTACACGTTCAAACTAAAGATAAAAGCTATAGGTTTTTATCAATGTCAGGCATCAACAGTATATTGATTAAGTCTAAGTAAGTTTAAGTGTCTGTTCGTCTACGTACTCATGGATTAGAGAGAGGCTCATGCTTGTGACAGCGTGGGTGTTCGGCCTAGCAGTAGCATAGATTTGTAATACTGGACTGAATACTGGATGCCAAGATGGTGCCTATTCATTCCATTGGGGTTGCTCTCCTGGTGTATATGCCAAAAAAGTCTATCTTCTGGCTTTACTTTCGTGGTATGCAGCCCACCGAATATGCACAGGAAGTGTTTCTCCTGGTTGTCTTGCCCAGTTCATAGACTTTACATTGTGATAATGTCAGAGTTTTAAATTGTTTCACAAATATAAAACTTTCATGGATCAAAAATGACATAAAAAGACAGAAAGAGTCATAATTTACCTAGTTTGCAGTGTTGTGTCAAGAGTCTTACAAATGTCTCTTTCACAATGGGGAAAATGCTATTTGGGCTGCAGGGGATTTTTTTGCTGCAATACTGCAAGAGACCACTGGGAAAAATTGGCTCAAGACTGAGCGCAGTTACTGGGAACCTGAGCAGAAGATGCATGCTTTCCTCTGTGCGGTGATATGATGGTAGGGTTGAGTTTGGTAGGAAAAAAAAATAGTTCCCACAGGAAACAAACCTCGGACTTTCAAGTGGGAGACCGCTGTTTGTGTCCATGTGAAAACAATAGTCAATGGAGTTGTTTTAATAGCAACGATGTTTGCTATTCATTACATTAGTAACAAGCTTACTTATTTTAAGACAAGCTATGTTTTGTTACCATGCTGTTGTTGTCTTAAGCTGGGGAAGAAAACCTAAGGTCCTGTGTCCACATAGCACATAACGCTTTTTTTTTTTGTTTGTTTTGAGGGACGGCATCTTTTTTTTAACTGAGCTCCAGTTTTTTCGTGTGGCTGCTCCTAGCATTTCTTGTTGAAAATATGTCAACTTTTCAGGAAGGCGTTGGCAATGTCATTGCAACTCCTTAAGCTACTGTCTATCTAGGCTGTATAAAACTATCACAACAAAGACAGAAAAACCCTTTCGTGGGAGCAGATCAGCCAGGCAGTGAATGTTGATGATGAGTGTTGTGCTTTTATCAGTGTACATGTTAGAAGCTTGAAATTGTTTTGAGGAGAAAATAATGCAACATGTGCATCAGTCCCTCATAACACTGACATTTAATTCATCAATTAATGCCTGGATATGGTCCAACATTGTTGATGAAATAATGTTAGTATAGCTTTTAATTAATGAATAAGAAGCAAACAAAACATTTTGGTCAGTACCAAAAAGTACTCGATTCACCTAGATAGATAGATAAATGACAGAGGTTTTCAGTGGCTGGATATATTGGGTTTTTCTTAAGCGTTTGCAATACATGTGCAGTAATGATATCTATTGGAGGGACAGTGGCAAAACACATCTGCAATACTTTAATTCAGCATGATAAGTCAAATTAGATGCATATTTCTGTATGCTGCACTGGAATATCTTGTAATTACATGTAAACACACGCTGAAATTATTAAGCTCTGAGAGTTTCACTTACATGACTCTTACATGACTCACTTCTGTCAGATTTAAATGCAGGCTGTTGGAAAACATCCGTCTGGTTTTAAGTCAGGTGCATGTTGAAATTTGCCATGTAAAAAAAGTGCCTTAATACTGAGTGGCAAAGCTTACAGAAAACATGCCTCATGTTACTCCTTTTAAAATTTCAATCCTCAGTGCTACCAAAGCATTGCTTTCAAAGTCTTCTTCCTGGCACTGGCTTATTGTCAGCCATAGAATTATTGAACATATGTGGTTTTATCGGCTCAAGTATCTGTACTTCCTCAAATTTCCACAAAAAATATCAATACAGTGACACAGGAGGAGAGGTCTTTATAAAATTAAAGAAAGCATATGGCCATTTAAAGTATCAATGTCAGGATTTGGAGAAATGGCTCAGACATGAAATAAAAAAAACTAAAACTGTGTTTGCAAACTGTATTGAAAAATTGTTTTTCAAACCAGCCCAAGAGAGCAGCGCTCACCTCATGGTGCGAAGGTCCCAGCCTCGTATGGCCGTGTCATTCGCTGTGGCAAGCTGGCTGCAATTGTGGTGGGGGCTCCACTTGCCCGAGGTGAACTTCAGCTGACCTTTGCCCTCCAAGGTGGCGGTGCTGGAGACCTGCAGAGGACGGCAACACCTTCATTACCATCTCTAAGCAGGGACGTGAATTTCATCCAAATATCTGTGACAGGTTCAGCCAGTACGGTGCACTCAATCAGCATAATAAGGCATTATTAGAAGTCATTTTCTCTGCAGGCCACACTCAAGACTACAATCGTTCAATATGACTCTGTAGTAATATTTTGGGCATTACTGGCACACCAACTGCCTGCAGATTTACACCATGCTGAAATATATACACTCTTACTGACATAACTTCTACCTACTTTGCAATAAATGTCTCCCTCAAGATGTAATTTTGGTCTGATTCAGTTTTAGTTTTAAGACTCAATACTCATTTAAAGCTGCACTAATCAATGTATCTTATATTAACAATTGATCAAATTACTGTGTGCAGTGTGAAAGGGGTTGCTTGAAGAGAGAAACTCACAGAAAATCTAACCCAACTTTGCAGTTCTTCGCTACAGAGCTTTTAGTCCTCTTTTAGCCCATTGTTTTGCTGCTAGATCTGCTTGCATCAACCCCTTTTCACCGGCAGGCAGTGGTTTTTAGAGAAAACCCCACTGTGTACTACCTGCCCAGCACAAAATTGTAGGCAAAAAAAGGTTAGCCACAAGCTGGTAAACATTAGCCTGCACACTGCGTTTATGTTTTAGCTGGAGAGGAGGTGTTCATGTTAGCCCATGTCTTTTTGGGAAAGGGGATTTTTGTGTTCTGTTTTGCCCTAACAAGTCATTGGTGGGTGACAAATCTATCACACTATCCTCACTTTCAGTTGACACCAAAGCTGTAGTAAAGGCTGTTGGGATCAGTTACTTGACAGTTTTTCTCGTAATTATGTCTTAAAGTTTTGGCTCTTTTTCTCTAACTGGAAGAAACAGAACTTTCTGAACTATTGAACTGGTCTAAGACAGGCCCTCAGGAAGTATGCAAGACTTTGATGGCAATTTTCGTAGTGGCCAAATAGAAGAATTACATCTTGGTCTGCTAAGTGATGCCATTGGACCCAAAAAAGCTTTCCCCCATAGACTTACATAGTGAAAAAGACATCTACAAATCAGTGGATTCATTTATTTGATTGTCACAATACCCGCAAAATGACTAATCTTATTATCTGGATTTGATCCATTTGGTCCTATTGCATTTTAAAAATCTAGAAGGGCTATGCGATTTAACCATTTTATCCCCATTCAAGTCAGCAGAACGCTTAACATTGAGTTAGCCACCTGGCCAGTAGAAGTAAGCTGCTCGGCTGGCCACAGTCTGTAGTGCACTTGCTCTATAGGCCCAACAATGTGAAAGATCCAGGAAATTTTATACCCCGGAAGTCAAGCTTTTTTGGCGTTGTGTGTCACAGGGCAACTTTCATAGGAATGAATAGGGCCCCTCCTCAAACACTGCATCCAGTTCTCTTTATACATCAATTGTCTGAGATGTGAGTGGAAATTCTGGAACCAGGCTAGGTAAACACAGCGGAGCATTTAACAGCTATATATTTTCCTCAGGAGTTGGTGGAGAGCAAAACAGAGCTGAAAGACGGACTGAGAAGCAACTTCTAGCCAATGCTAATGTTGCTCCGTCTCTGCTGGGTGAGTAAATTGGCAACTGTTTGCCAACAAATTATCGATATCAGATTCTTATGTGATGTCAGATGTTGTGTTTCAGCTTGCTATGCTTTCCCCAAATGGCCAAAATATCACTTAATACAGCTTTGAAGTACTTGCTAAGATAGACAGCGTGCAGTGATGAGACTGCATAATAAAGTAACATCAAACTCAAATTCCATGTTTCCAAGTGATACCACTTTCACCAGTAGTTTTAATATTTTCTAAGAATCTGCTCTGCACCTGTAGCTTAAATAAAAAAGTACCCTCTCTCTATGCCTGCAGGGTGCTCCAACATATGGATTAGCATGTTCTGTTCTAACTCCAATGCCCAGCAGCAAGACAGGACCTATACAGCGAGAGCCCTCCAGTGTGGGCGCTGGGAGGCAACAGCATGCTCCTATCTCCTCTGTAACCTGCTGCTCAGTCAGCAGACCTACTGACCCCGGGCTCTCCTCGGTCCCATAGCAGGGCTCTATACACTAGATCGCTCAGTTACTTATGGATCAACTGTCAAGTCAAAGATGAGCCCTTGGGGGATTCAAGACTGATGAGTGTTGAAAGCTGAATCAAAGTAGCCTGTTTAGGCTGGTTGAAAAATCATTCAAATTTATTGTAATTTCTTCGGTGTTTCAAAAGAAAAACATTTAACTGACAAAATGTCACTGGATCCAAAAATTAGAGCAGTTTAGCTGAAAGGCAGTCAGGTTAAATTGCAACATTTAAGGCTTTTCAAACAAGACGACATGCTTGTCACTGGATATTTATCAAACCTGCTTCGTATATTTCACAGGGCAACAATGAAGGTGGAATTAATCAAAGTCAAAACACTTCAAGGACTTTGAATTATAAAGCATATCACTTCATCAGGCTACTTTAAAAAATGGAATCCAATTAATTCAGCAGGCTGGCCTTGAAAATGATTATCTTTCCCTTAAACTATGATGCATCTAACAATTCTAAAAAGCAGCATCACACTGCTCCATTTTCCTCTGCTCTCTGACTAGCTGCGGGTTTTTTATCCTCATCTTTCTCTTTCTACCATTTCTCTCTCTCTCTCTCTCCCTCTCTCTCCCGTCTCTGCCTGTTGGAGCAGGGATCATCGATCGCCCCGTCACCGCACAGCTCCCTGGCACACTCTCATTATTTCAGCTAGAGAGGACAGAGGGAGAGCGAGGGAGAGAGAGACAGGCCGATAGAGCAGCAGGGAGGGAGGAAGACTGAGAAAGAAAAGCAGATAGGATAAAAGGAAGGAGAACAAAGAGGGTAAAAAGAAGAAAATAAAGGAAAAATAAAGGAAAGGAGTGAAAAGAAAGGAGCTGAAGAAAGGTGGCAGAAGACGGGGGACAGATAAAATCGGACAAGAAGAGAAGCAGGGTTTCCTCTGTGGCCTTGATGTAAAATTCCATGACTTTTCCATGGATTTTCATGATTAAATCAGAGTGCCTTCTCCTTTTTTTTCCATTTTATATGTCAGGTTATGGGTTACTGAGCATACCAATCATCACCAAATCAGATATGTTACAACTTATCTTATTAAAGGCACTTTGAAGTGGCAGTTAGAACACCTTTACATTGCTAATATACATGTTTTTAACAATGTACTCCTCCTCACAATGGCTATCCCTACAAATCATGCATTCCCTTAAAGCTTTGGTCTACAGAAGTTAGGGCTAAAGGTGTTAATGTGACCCAATCAAACTATTTGTTAGATAGTCGAAAGGAGTCTTAAACCCCCGACCCCCACACCTTTTGGACATCAGAATTGGGGGAAACTACGTGTGACAATTTCTGCAACTCTACAGAACTGACAAGCTGAGAAGTGTGCCCACTTCACACAACCATTGGCCTGCTGTGTGGAGGTGAGAAAGTAAGCAGGGTACTAACTTCTCTCTCAAGCTCTCTTTTTCATTCTTTACACATCTAATTCTAGTGCTTTAATGTGTAAAACCAAGTGCTACTATGAACGCCTTATCAACAGTTATCATGATTCACCCCTCTCTATTGTGGCAGGCTTTTCAGCCCAAATGCAACTGTGGCTGTTAGAACAGCTATAAACACTGACCAGAAAACTTTGTTTCAAGCACACGTCTGCTTAAAGCATCACATGATGTGATTAAGCAGATGAACAGTCATCTGAAGGCTCTTACACACTGACGACAACAATGGTGGAAAGTTTTGATGAAAAAACTAATAAAGAATGTTGCTGATGCTGCTATTTCTGCTCTTATGGTAAGATTAACATTTTGGTAATTCCCATAGGTGTTGCTATGTTTATGTATGTGACAAAATAGTCCAAAGTTAAAGTTTTTCTGGGGTTTGTGACTGTATCCCATGGCCTTCATTAGCAAATGGAACTTGATCAGGTGTCACATATCATATGTCACATCTCTCTGAGTGAAACAGAATATGCGGGTATGAATTCTTTAGGGCTGATTGTAGGCATGACTTAGTGAGCATTGTTACTATGAACCAGAAAGTAGAGGAAAGGGGAGAAGTAGATTATTTAGATATCAACTATGCTCTTTTGAAAGTGTAACCATGTGCATTGCCAAATAACATCCAAACATCTTCTACCTATGGGGCAACCTCCAAGGCTGAAAAATGAAGCCAACGCAGAAGTACACAGAAAAACTGCACTTCCTCTAACGGCCACTTGAGGCTGGCTCCAAGAGTGAGTCAATCCCCATAGACTGCCATGTTAAAATGTCAAACTTTACAGCAGAAATAAACATGTTCACAGTCTGGTAGAAAGAACAGTTTTGGTCTCTAAAGCTAATTTTAACATTCATGATATTCATGATATTCATGACAGGGGTTGAATTTTTATATATGAGTGACAGGCTGTCTATGAGTCATCACCACAATCTATGAGTCAGATCCACCCGTCGCTCCGTCCTCGTCCAAATATGCTGAACTTGAGGCTTCAAAATGGGAATCTACAAACCAGTGGGTGATGTCTCTGTAGCCAGAGTTCTGCATGGGTCCACTTTAGAGAACCTGCACCCACCCGTACCCTTAAAGCTTAGTACCAGAACCGACCTGTTACCTGTCATTATGTCTAAGTCAAAGCTGCACCTGCCCACACCAGAGGAAATGTCTCTTTCACTGGCTTCACTCGATGTCACTTCACTCGATTACAGTCTATGCTCCATGATACTGCGACCCCCACACTAACAGGCTCATGCATTTTAGATTATGGCCGTGGCTAGCTGGTTGAGCAGCACAAGCTGACAAACTTTTAACAGTGAGAGAAAACGGAGAGATTCTGAAATACCAGTACTCAGAATCATTGACACAAAAATGAAACAACCTGTGCAACATACACTGGTATCTTTTTTACAAAGCAACTCATTTGCCAAATTTGCTGATTGTCCCTGACTTCCCTAAAGA